GATCACTTGGGTTGTTACCGACATCTGGTGAAAATTTCATGTCATTAGCACCTCTAGTAATATATTTACTGAGAGAAATGGTGACGTGTTCAATACTTATTTTACCCGCTGTACCTGACACCAGAGTTCACTCCTCTCTACGCTAAGAAGTAAAAAAGAGGGAAACACAAAGAAAACAAACAAGCAGGCAAATGAAAATTATTGTCTTCATTTTAATTTACATTCCTCAGTTTAATTTATCATACAGTTAATTGATTTGTTATTTACTGTTACAGGCTTACGGGTTACTTGAAAACACCATTTGAACTGTGAAAATTTAACAAGGTCAAAACGCACATCTAACGCGTTAATATTTATTAAAAAGCTCGTGTCATAGATGAGCTTTATGATCCTAAAGGAGAGTTTAGCATGAATCCGTTCGGAGCAAACACGTCGGGTCTGTATAACGATGTAAATTTAAATGTATTTTCGAGCACAGAGTTGGAGGGGTCATGATCTGGGCTTGCAGTCATTAAGTCAACAACACGCTCCTCTGTAGACGATTCTACGGGGTCATATCATAAGAGGATAGTGAATTTAAATAAAGACAAAGCAGCAAACCTATAACTGAATGACACAAAAAACATATTAAGGTGTCACAATGGTTTACAAAACGTGTGTGATGCACGAGAACAGAACACTCCCCTGTGAGTAAACTGAGATTTGATCTTTTAAAATCATCATTTTCAGTGACTAATTGCACGAATACAAACACGCAGACATTACCTGACGCAGACAGTTCTGGAGAGACGGCCTGAAAAGACAAATAAAATTAATAAACATATTAATCGACTTAGACAGAACATCAACGGGTGACAAATATTTGCGTGAATTCTTACACAGAGGTGGGTTTCAGTTTTCCCTTTGCTGCCAAATATTCCATCAGCTTCTGTTTACGCAGCTCTGTGACAGAAAGTTCAACAGGAATTCAGTCGTGGGTGGATGAATGACTTCTCAAAACAATAATGTAAACATCAATTTTAAGATTTATATTACACATATAAACTGAGCCACTCATGTGTTTGCATTATCTGTATATGAAGAGGTGCAGTTAAATAGTTAAATTTTGTTGTAACCTTAGATTACAGAGCAGGAGTCTGGGATTACAGTCAACAAAACATGATTTTATTGGGACTATTATACTTGGGCCAGACAAATTAAGAAGGTACAGTTTTAAGAGATGGATTTTCATTATATTTATAGAAATAAGTTAAGATGTAATGAACAGATTAAAATGTTTTATTTAGAAACTCATAAGTGTAAAAGGGCAGATGACAAAATCATGAACCTATATTAAAGTCCTGAGACATAAGCAACATGGAACTTATCAAAACAACAAAAGGCACTTTGCCTTTGAAGACTGGACGTTAGGGTTGGGCAATATCGGCAAAAAAATTAATCGCGATTAATTGTGCTATTTATCTGATAACTATTAATTTGACGATTAATCCCCTGGAGTCCCTGAACACCCTTATGTCCTGGTAACATGACCAATTTAGTGGGAAAGATTTGCTGTTTATAAAAAATTGTTCCAAATTGTGTGAAAAT